AGAGAGCAGCAGGTACCGTCACAAAAACAGGTGTCCATAGCTTAATGAGAGGGCTCAAATGTAAATGTTGCCATTTTGTTTATAATGAAGATAATTGAAAAAAGGTTTTTGCTTAATATAGTAAGCTGAATAAAGAAGATGACAAAACAGAAACCTTTTTTCTTAGGTTGTGTAATATGTTGTTATAATGATTTTCGGCTGACCAAAATTTTTCATGTCCATTCTTTATGTTACACTTTTTGAAATTGTCATCTTGCATCAATAGTGAGTGAATCAAAATATCTCCAAAGAAGGAATTTTTCGTACAACTTTACCAAAATTATACATTTATATACTACGATAGTTGTTTAAAAATAAAAATGAATCATCCAAACTACTATTAATTGCTAACTCGTTTAGTGCATTGTTAACTAATTAATTACCGACCTGCATTAATTCACACAATAGGCTGTCAAGCAAGCCGTTTACAGGCGACAGAAAACGACAGTGCACTTACATACATACATACATTCCTATAAACACATGTTCACATGTAAAACAAGAGTGTGAATGTGAACAAGCCAACAACAAAAAACCAACCAAAAACAAAAAATAGCAAGGCAGGGTCAAAAAACAAAAAACTTGCTCAAGAAGATCAATACCACATTAATAACAATATCTATTAATCCATGTTTGTCTTGGAATTCATGCCGCTTGGTTCACTCAATTAAATGAACTCAATTTTTGTTGGTGCGCGGCTACAATAAAATGTCACACTTTTAACATTAGACCAAATGCCAATAAAGGCAATAATGAAGACAATAGCATTAAGATGGTTTGTTAGGCCTATCGAATTGGTTTCAATGTAAAATATATATTATGCAGACCAACACAACGGCACAAAACCAAAGCAAATCTACATATTTGAAATGTGATGCACAAAAAATTGAAGATGCTCAATTTATGCAGCAGCCACTTGAAAGGCAAGAGCGACCCCCACATTGTATATAAACTATGTAGATCATTAGGCCTATATCCAGTAAACCAATTCAATTCGATACTAAAACATCAGCGCGGTGTGTCGGGACAAACTAAGCGCGAAACGTCTAAGGAAAATTAAAAGAAACGCAAACGAAAAATATCAGCGCAAAAGGTGCTGAAGTGATTGTGAAGTTATTAAAATTAAAAAATATATATATTTTTATTAAAACGAAAATGCGTGTCCTGATCGTGATCGTCGCTATCTGTGCTATCGGCATCTATGCCGCTCCTCAACATGGATATGACTACGCCAGCAGCAGCAACAGTGTATTATCAGCACGCGCTGGCAGCAACGGTATCCTTCCAGTTGGCGGTGGTGGTGGTGGTGGTGTTGTTGCCAACGGTCAAGGCAATGCTCTAAACCATGGCAGCGGGCGCGGTGGTGACAAATATTTGCCACCCGAATCCGACCAGCAAGCACCACTCATCAATAAACAATTCTACACAATCTCCGCACCAGAAGATAACACACCGAAAGCAAAACATTTAGTTTTGGGCAAACCGCAAAAGAACTACCGTGTTATCTTCATCAAGGCACCACAACCCGATGACGTTAAGTATTCGGCTGAATTTGCACCACAAGAAGAGAAAACTGTTATCTATGTGCTGCACAAGAAGGGCGAGGATGTCGATGCGGCCAACATTGCCACACCAGCGCCAACCGTGCCGAGCAAACCAGAGGTGTTCTTCATCAAATACAAGACACCTGAGGAGGCACAACAAGCCCAGAAAGAAATTCAGGGTGAGTATTTAGAAGATTCTCAACCAAAGAGTGACTGACGATTAGGTCACAATACATAGAATTGAAAGCATTACAAAGGGGCTCGTATGCATGCTAATAATTTCTTTATAATTTTCAACTTTCAGACCAATACGACCAACTGGGCGGAAACAATCAATTCGGCGAGGATACGGCACCTATTACCTCCGTCGTTGGCGCTTTGGACAGCCTCAATCCTGATGGCAGCTATAATTATCGTCAAGTGAACAGCAACAGCGGCAGCTCTAATTTGTCTGAGGCTCAGCAGCCCAGCTCACAACAGCAGCTTAGCACACAATATTTGCCATCTTTCCTAAAGCTTTAAATTTGAGATTTGACACGAATTTACGACCTGAATACCTATTTAGTTTTAGTAAGTAGACTTTTTCAATTGTTAACTGTTATCTGTGACAAACATATTCGATTCATGCATACATTTATTATTGTTATTCGCTGTATAAATTGTTGTTATTCAATAAAGTGAGATTAAAATTAACAAATCGTGATTTGATGTTCTCGGGAAAGACCCAGCAGAATTTGCATACTTTTTTTTTTGGTATTTTCTTATTAGTTTGGCATTCTTTTTACGTGGGATTCTTTCCGCTTGATACTAAAATAAGCTGCACCGTTTCGTGAATTCCTTTAGCGCAAAATGTATGAATATTGTTGCTGTTTATACAAAGTTTAGTATCAGCTATTAAGCTAATATTGGAAATACCCAGAATGAACAGCTTGTTATCATCCCTTAAATGTAAATGGTTCCATAAAATATTTAGTAGTTAAATATTTGGTATTTATTTACAGTTTTTATCTCGGCAAATCATTTTTTATAATGGAAATAATTTGTTTAACCATTTCGATATTCCGCCCACCAGGCATGGAATCTCGGGATACTAAGTAGTCATACACATCTCTGATCTGATCACATCTTTTGTACTTATTGGGCCACCCTGATAGGTACAAGTTATTTTTAAGCAAAAAACAAAACCGACTTCAATTCTCATATAAAAATTTAAGATTATCCAATGATCGGATTTCCTTTAAAAAAAAAAATAATTATAGAAACCGGTTAACGTTCTCCAAAGTTATGCGGTAACATACATACATAAAAAAAAATAAGTGGCACAATTGAAAATATGGCATTTTTGAAATAATGCGCTTAAAATGTACACAGAGCTTTTATTCGCCTTACAGCAAAAGTTGGAGCAAATTTTTGTTATAATTTGTTGAAAAACTCAAGGTAAATTCTCTCTTGCCCATATGATTAGCAGAAAATTTGAATATTATAAATTTTTGGATAATGGGCGTGGCGCTGCCCACTTATGACCACAAATGTGTATCTCGGTAACCGATTTACCAATTTCCACCAAACTCGGTGCACTTAAAAACCTTGATACGGAAAAGCAATTTGTTGAAAATTATTTAAATCGCACTAAAATTACACCCGCTTCCCATATAACGGTAAATTTCAGAAATACGAAAACTCCGATATTTCAAAAGTTGAGGACGCTAATTTACTTCAAGTTAATAGTTACAACAATTTCCTAACAATAAATAAACCTCCTAAGATAAATAATATAGACTTTTAGGAATTGGGCGTAGCACCGTCCTCTTTATAACTACAAAGATGTACCTCTACTTATCATGCAAAGGTAGTTCAGAGAAAGTTGAAACGACGATATTTGATACCTGCGTCGGGTAAGTACAACTACAAAATCTGAGCAAGGCATAGATACCGAAACGTACTTTCTACGTCAAAAATTGTAACCAAAATGTATTCGACAGGGCAGTTGTAGCCCTCCCTATCAGGAAAATTTTTAGAAGACATGTTGATCCCATAAGAATCTATGTATTATGTTTACAAATTATCAGCAAAATGTAAGTGTGATTCATAAAACGTCGCAAAGTGGCATTTTTGGCGAAATGGCAAAACTCCGGATTGCAAATGTAAAATTAAAAACACAAAAATGCCGCGCGTTAGAGAAAATAAAAGTTTTTACAATTATATTTGGAAGCAGCCTTAACTGATATAATTTTTCTTAAAGTGTTTGAAGACAAAAAAAAAATTTTTTTCGCGACTTTGACTTTGCAATGATTTCCAGCTCAAATACTATGGCAATGTCGCAATTTTGTCGCAAGAAAGTTTCCATAAAAAAGTAATCAGCTGTGTCGCAAGGCGACAAATGCGACATTGGCAACAACTTTACGACATTTCATGAATCCCACTATAATATTTGTCTGAACATTTGTTTGTTTGCTCAAAACGCTTCATTACCATATTAGGAGTAGTTTATAAATAAGCATCAAAGAATACGCTATTTAATTTATCACATAAGACCGTTAAATTCAATTTTACGCTAATTTAAGCGGAAAAGTATTTGGGGCGATTTTTGGAAAAGATTAATTTTTGTTTGGCGGCAAAGAAACGACGCTATAAGACATAAGGAAGGCGACAAACCAATGACTAAGCCGTGCCGCGCCATGCCATGCCCATAAAAGAGCGTATGAGTTGCGCTCAATACAGGTAGCGAGCTAAGAAGATTATGGGCTGGTTTCTCCAACTCAACATAACTTAGTTAAGCCATTTTTTGGACTTAAGTCAAAACTTAAACTACTTTCTGATCAGCTTATTCTTAACTAAGTCCAAAATATTGGCTAAACTAAGTTAAGTTGAGTTGGAGAAACCAGCCCTATGAGTAATTTGCCTTGCGAAAACAATAGACGAGATGCGCTAAAATGCAGTTGGCGCTAAAAAATATGCAATCAAATTCATAGGTAAGATTATGCAAAATGGATATTATATACAAGCGACAGAAAAAAGCGTGAAACCATTCAACTGTTTCACAAAAAAATCACTCAAAACTAAACTGATAGCATTTGAAGTCAAATAAGGAGCGTTAAAGAATAGCAACTCGCTCAAGTAGGCGCCGCTGCGGTGCGGTGTGCTTTTTGGTACGATATACATATGTTGTTGTTGTTGTTGCTTCTAAGACAAATTAAATACGAAATCAGAGCAATGCGTTTTACGCTCAACTTTTACCGCGAATTTGTCAACCGAACCGAACAACGTACGCCGGCGATCGATGCCAATGCCTTTGATCACTCCGCACGATGCGCGAAAATTTGCATTGATTTTGCGAATTTGTAGTGCGAAAAAGCGTAACAATTCGCATATAAAATGATAATGCAATTCAGACAGGTCAAACAGTGCAACCGTAACCCTCTTAAGAGGATCAACGCAGTGAACGAACAGAGTACAAAAGTGTAGTGTCTGTGTTTGTGTGAAAGAAACAAAAAGTCACCTTAGTTTTGTTCGGTAATTTTTTTTCCACAAAGGACTACTTCAGTTTTTACGCAATAACAATGCGCTCCTTCGCTTTACTCGCTTGTTTGGCGACCATTGCAGCCGTCAGCGCCGCACCACAATTAAGATATGACTATGGAGCACAACCAGCGGCCAGCAATTTTGTGTCCTCAGCACGGGGTGGTGAGAAATATTTGCCACCGGCCACCACAATACAACCGCCCAGCGTACACAAACAATTCTACACGATTTCGGCGCCGGCGGATGATAATGAAAATTCTAAGCCAAAACATTTGGTCATCGGGCGCCCACAGAAGAACTATCGTGTGGTCTTCATAAAGGCGCCAGGCTCTGATAACTCTAATCTCAAATTGTCAGCTGAATTTGCTCCACAGGAAGAAAAGACTGTCATTTATGTGCTCAGCAAGAAGGATGATGAGCTGACAGCCAATGACTTTGCCACACCAGCGCCAACAGCGCCCAGCAAACCCGAAGTATTCTTCATTAAATACAAGACACCCGAAGAAGCGGCAGCAGCGCAGAGGGAAATTCAAGGTGAGTATAACCTTTTTTTTTTTGAGAACGATTGAGGTGAAAAGATTGCATGAAAAAAATATGAATACTTTAACGAAATGTTTGCCTTACAGACCAATACGACCAACTGGGCGGCACTAAGGAGATATCCGATGAAGGCACCGCTCCAGTGGCTTCAGTTATTGGCTCCTTGGACGGTATTGCTCCCGATGGCAGCTACAACTACGCAGCCATTCAACCACCACCAGCGGAACTCGGCAGCGCATCATCGCCTCTTAGCCAATATTTGCCCGCTTTAGCTCGTCTGTAAAGGGCGGCGCGGCGCGCGCTTCGGAAACTCGTAAAAATGTTTTATTGTTATCTGTTGATGTTAAGTTGGGTGGCGCAGCACATGACTGCTTGACGTTAAGAACTCGTTGATTAATTCTTAGTTCGTTGTTTTCTGGTTTAAAATTATTTTCTTTTGATTTTATTTTATACGCGACATTTGATTTGAATCAATAAAATTATATTGTTTTAGACAAGAAATGTTGAACCATTTTATTTTTAGAATTTTCATTCTTCGGAGTTAATACAAATATTAAGAAAAAATATATTTAAATATCTTAAGAAGAAAAAAAAAGTTAATCAAAAAACATAAAAAAAAACAAAAATCAAACAATAAAAAAATAAAATTTGTAGCAAAACCCATGTACGCGAATAAGTTAACAAAATCTTAAAAATACTAAATATTGGTGTAGGTAAAATTGATAAAAACGAGAACCCTCCGCTTAACCCAAGCTAAATGGAAAATTTTCAAAAAATTGCAGCCAATTTCAAACAGAAATAACTCTTCAAATTGTATTTGTACACTAGCAAATGCCTGGCTTGCTTCGCGACGCCTGATAAGAACTTTTGCGTTGAATAATACAAAAACATTATTAGCTTAGGTTGGAAGGACTGAAAAGCAGAACCTTCCTTACTCATAGGCCAATAATAATGGCGCTGAGATAACATATGGTATATGAACTAATCTCGGAACGGGGTCATTGATGTTCCTACCGTGTTCTTTTTAATTCGTCACACTTCTTCTTGATATGCCGATGACCCGTTGATGTGTCTAGGACATCTGTGGGGCTTAAACAATTTTGCGCTTCTTTGTATTCATACTTTAAGGATGGGGCTCTATTAAGTCACTTAAAAAGTACATTTGTAGAGGGGTATCTAATTATCAAAAGGCTTTTTAATTAAAAGGGAAGGTCTGCGGGAATAAATAGGACTTCTTACAGAAACACATCTTCTCCTTTGCCACATCCAGTAATAATTCTTGCTGCAATTATATTGGTAATCATTTTCTTCGCTAAAAATCGTATTTCCATGGATCAAGGTACCTAAGGAAGAATGAAATGAATTATAATTTATAATTAAATAATCTCTGAAAGTAGACGGCATGCGTGGTGGGAGGTGCTGCGACTTTTTACAAACTCCCATCTCTGTTTAGTTTACAACAGGTCATTTCGTTTAGCTGTATGTTGTAATGGGTCGAATGTTATGGTTCTCTGAACGTATTACATCTATTGGAGGTGCCACGCTCCTGTCAAACTCCCACTCTCTCAGATTTCACGGCATGTGCAGCGGCCCCTGACCTAAACTCACTTACGTTTAGCCCGCTATAAGCGCCTACTTTAGTTATGTCCTTACACTAAATTTGGAAGTTATGTGACTTATCGTTCCCAAGTTATTGCTGATTTAAAATTTCACCCCTATGGGATGCACCACGCCCCTTATACAAACTCATTCATATATACCTTACTAAAAGCGCCTACCATGGGTATATTTTCATACCAAATTTCAAATGCATGTAACTTATGGTTGCAAAGTTATGGCTAATTACAAATTTCACACCCAAAGGATGTGCCACGCCCCTTTTACAAAAGTGTATCGACAATACAATAGGTATCTACGCTAGATATGTATGTATGCCAACTCACCTAATTTCAAAGTTATGCGACTTACGGTTTCGAAGTTATAGCACTCAGGTCGCTCTATATACACCAGTTAAAGCCCCATGAAAATCCATTCGGTAGTTCCGGAGATTAGTGAGTTTAAACAAATAAACAAATAGACAAACAATTCAAAGTTTTATTATAGTATAGGTAGTTCCACTTTTCATTGAGCATCTAAGTCTATCCACAATCATTTCATTTCTTATCTTTACTTTTATTTCCGTTTACTTATGTATATCTTTTATTGCGCGACAGAAAGCATTAGAACGTAATATATTTCATCGAGTTGGATTCGAAGTTAAATAAATATTTATACACTTCGATTTGCAATGCAAATTCAAACTATTCTGTTTACTAATTTACGAGCGTTAAGCGACCATTCGACGGAGCAAAAATCATTTCCCATTCTTAAAGCTATAAATATGAAAACGACCACCGTAAACTGCTGTCTGAATTTTTTTTTTTTAATTCTTATTTTCGCAATAACAATGTCAAGGTTTCGAATAAAATATTCGATATATTTATTTCGCAAATTTGTTGTTCTAGTGTGAAATGTTTTAAGCTAACAATACGTCACTTCCAATTGCTGATTAAGAGCGCGAACCCATGAACGTGCACGTTGCGTAGCGTAGAAGTACGTAAAAATATATAAAGTGTGCTGTTGATAGAAAGAGGGAGAAGCAACGTCTACATCACGGCCATAAGATATATCGTGTCAGCTGACACGTTCTCCGTTTTTACGTCCGTGGGTAACTGCGCTTTAAGACAAGAGGAAAGAAGTAATGACAATTTCTTATTTATTTTACATTCGTACGAAGATAGGTTAGGTTAGATTGAAACGGTGTGCGAAGAACTCAACAAGCAAGTAGAAAAAGGTATCGGTTTTATACCCATCAGATATTAATCTTTTAAACCTCTTCTTCTTCTTCTTCTTCTTCTTCTTCTTCTTCTTCTTCTTCATCTTCTTCTCCTTCTTCTTGTTCTTCTTCTTCGTCCTCTTCAGCCTCTTCGTCTTCTTCTTATTCTTTTTGTTTGGTGCTGTAACTGAAGCACGCCATTCGTTTCACTTTTGTGCCAACTCACGCCTATTGGAAATGCAGGGAAGGCAAAGTCCTTTTCCACCTGGTCTTTTCAACGCAGAGGAGGTCTTTCTTGTCCTCTGTTACCAGCATCGCGACCCGCTTTCGCACAATCTTTCCCTCGAAAACTCCAGATCTTTTCATTGCCCGTGCAATTGCCTAGTCATTCCAAAGTAGCAGTTGTTGGCAAAAGTGATTCTGATTAGAGGAGGGAGCAGGTCACCGAGTTTCCATGACCACAACGATCTATTGTAACAAACCTCCATTCGACTACAGGTCTTGCTCCACATATTGCAAGAAATCTCGCGAGGTCCTTTGGCTGAATGCGCTTTAGGTCGTGTGCGTCTAGGTACTGTGGTCCTTCGTTGCATAACCTGCACTCAGAGTTAACAGGTCCTATGTTTGACAAGTGTTTCATTACCCTACAGTGGCCATCAAGTAAACCTGTTACAATTCTTCCTTCATCCCTATTGAGGCGAAGGAGTTCTTCGGTTCTCCTTGTTGATATATCCGGAGTTAAGGACTTGACCTGCCTTGCTACCTTGCGTATTTGTCCAGTAATGTTTCGCTTTGTTCTTCATTCAGATCATGTGGTTTTGCCTAATGGAGTTCCATGGCAGGCCAGTAATGGATCCTGGGCCTATGAATCCCTGTGCAGCCCCTTTTTTGGCGAGAATATCTGCCAGTTAATTGCCAATGGCTCTACTATGTCCCGGTGATCATGTGAGGTATACGCGGTTCCTGGAGGCAATAATTAATACAAGCTGAAAATAGTCCCACTGCAGATTTGCGCTTAATGCGAGGAGTGTCGGTCTGCTGTCCCAGTGTATGTAGATGTGTTTGATGGTAAACTCCTGCTCCGACGACGTCATCAGTCTTGGAGTTGTCAGTATACCAGGTATTCCGGGGTTTAGATCGTTCGTTGTCCCAGCTGTTCCTTTCGGTGAAAAACACCTTGAAGGCTTGTGCGAAGTTAAATCTCGGAGAGCAAAGGTCCACAAAGCTGATGCGAGCCCATCTTCTAGTTCTATAACCCTATCCCTTCTTCTATCCTTCCCTTTTTAAGGAATCAAATTTTTTACTGAAATAATCGACCAAATGAGGATTTCTGGATAGTCTATAAATGGCACACTTTAAGCTTTTGCTTGGAATTGCTTATTCAGCAAGCTTAGTTTGATAACCAAGCATATTTTGTTTTATTTAAATGTATAAATCTAAGTTCTCAAGAAAACAGTCAAGAAAAAAATTGCGCTATTTCGTTGTGTGAATCGTAGTGTCCATGGAATTTCCTCACCAAATAATGGAGCATATGTTTCTGTTGAAAACATAGGTTACCTTATGTTCTTTGTGCACAAAAAAATTTTAGACAGCCGTAGTAGAAAGCGTAGCAAACTTCTTAAGAACATCGCACTGCTTAGGAAAATTTGGCCAAATACATTTTTCTTGAGCTTTTCTTGAACTTTTTTATGTGAAGTTTTGACAGATTTTGACATCTGCTTACGACGCTTAAAACTTCAATCCTATTCCGGATATTTTCCACCAGAATTGAAAAATGTTTTTCTCTCTCTACGTAAGTATCGATAATTTGGAACAAAAAATTATACTTACGCCTGCTATGTAAATATATCTAACTAGTATTATTAAGGAAGATTACTTTGTTCCAAACTGATAACCATAAGAGCCGCTTCATAAGTTCCAGTCGCCCATCTTTTAATTTGTGATGTTATTTTAAATAATTTACCTATTCGAGTATTGAGCTTACGAGTCTGCCAAGCTGCAGACATTTTCACCCAGTTGCTATCTCTATTCAAAGGAAAATTACATAAGACTTCAAGATTTTGCAAAAGCTTGAAATTTTTCCTTTCAGCAATATTGTGAAAAATTGTGGTAACACAGTTACGATATCAGCTTACAAATTTAAATAGTCATGTGCAGCAAGCGTGTAAATACGACTAATTGGCTTACAGACAAAAAAAAAACATTGGCAGTTGGACTTAGTACCTAAGTAGTTATGAATTCTTAATTAATTCATCAAAACGGTGTTGTGAAGCAGAAAAATTAGGAGTTTTTTTTTATTTAGCTGCTCTGCTGAGTTGTGTCTTTAAGTGCAGGGTGAGGGACAATCGCTCGTAATTGACAAGCGAAAAAGAGATCTCAAAAGCATACGCACTGACATTGAACTAATTAAATTGGCCAAAATACGGTGTATATGTATGTTTGTAGTATACGCGATGGTCTGTGAGGGCGGATGTCATTATGACCGACAACATTTAAATGCACAAATTAAAATTTCGAATTTTCTCAGGCGCAAAAATAGTGCTGACGCGGCTGAACACAGATCGCCCGCTGCTGGTAAACTTATTTACATATAAAAATATATAAATACTACATTTACATACAAGCATACACTTTAACGACTACTTTTGCATGCAACATTTACCTAAAAATTTTCCCAAAACTCACCATTTGATTTTCATTTAAAACGGTATTCGCCTATAAATTGCTGGAGTCTTTCCAATTTAAACAGCAGTTTAAGACATTAATCAGACTTAAAAACAACTTGCATTGAGTTGCAATAGTTGGCACGTGATTTTAAACAAAAATAAGCGCAAGTTTTAAATATATATATTTTTTTTTTTCAAAAATGCGCTTTCTTTTCTTGTACACCTGTGCGCTGCTCGCTTTGTCCACTAACGCCGCGCCTAATTTCGGTTACTACTATGAACGCAATATCAACACCAATACTAACTCAAATAGCAATAACAACAGCTTTCGCGCAAAGGATAATAACAATGAGAATTTCTTTAATCCTGCGCCTAACAGCAATGCACTACTTCTACCGCAACATCACCAAACACTGCGTCAACAATTACAGTCGCAGCAGCAGCAGCAGCAGCAACAGCATAAAGCATCACAACAATCGTACAGCGGTGATAAATACCTACCGCCCTCCCAACCCGCCGTCGAACCTATAATTACAAAGCAATTCTTCTTAGTATCCGCACCAGAAGAGTCGGAGGAGCAAACACGCACCAAGCATATTGTCATTGGACGTCCACAAAAAAACTATCGCGTTGTGTTTATTAAGGCGCCTTCGCCAGAAAATGCCAATCTCAAATTGACTGCCGAATATGCGCCACAAGAGGAGAAAACAGTTATTTATGTGCTGAGTAAGAAGGCTAATGAGTTGAATATTGATGAAATTAGTACACCAGCGCCAACACAACCCACCAAACCGGAGATATTTTTCATTAAGTACAAAACACCAGAGGAAGCAGCAGCTGCACAAAAGGAAATTCAAGGTAAGTAACGATTGAAAAACCGCGAAATTTAAGTTGGAAATTTTCGACAAATGCAAAATGTAATGCTGGATTTCCACTTGGCATTAAATGGCAAAAAATGTAATGAAAAATTGTCATTACGTTACAAAAAATGTCATGAAATCCATTCCCACATGGCATTTTTTAATTGCCTCCAATTTTTTGTCATTTCAATGCCCAGTGGAAATTCGACATAAGTCAAATGTTTGGGATAGTTTACTAACCCTAAAGAAGAGCTCCGTAATTTTCGACGAAAATTTTACCGTTTTTTTTTTTTGTCAGCAAGCACTGGAATGATCGTCTCAAAAATTCCAACCTGGCCCTGTAATCAGTGTTGCCATTCAGATTTTTTTTTTGCCACAAAATCCTACCAGAAAAAAATGTGTACACACTCAGAAAAAAATTTGTGCAAAAAGCAAGTCCGACAGTGATTAATATTTTTTCGTTCTTCAAATTATAAATTCATGTGGTTTTAAAGACTTTAAACATGGACCGAGAACAAAAGGTATTATCGAAACCAGATGTCATTCTCGTAGTTTTGTTACCACGAACGCTTAAAAATCATAACCGAAATGAGAAGAAAACTTTCCGTAGATTTTCCACAAGAGAGAACGTGAGAACAAAACTGGTGAGAACATTCTCAGCTGGAATTGTATAACAAAACACTGGGGAACGTTCTAAAGCGAACCAACTGCGTGCTATTCTTTTGGGACCATTTTAAGGCGAACAAAATGGGAATACAAGTATAAGGAACTTTCTCTCGAAGAATAATTTGGAAACTAAAGTCTCAGAACTGATCTGACAGCGAACGAAACGAGAAAAAATCTTCTTTAATGTATGCTCACATCCATAGTCTTTTTCTCGTTTAGTATAGTTCTTCTCTTTCGCACGACAGTCGGGTATACGTAACCGTAACCGAAACGACCCAGATTTATATCTGGCCAAGGACTGTCACTCCAGCAACACTCCACAAAAACTCTTTGGGGAGTCTGTATGCTGCTACAACAACAACAAGAAAAAATTGTCGCCTGAACTGTTCGCGAAGAATGGAAGCGAGAACAAAATTGTTCTCTTAGCGCTGCCTTAGTTTGAAATGCTTGAATATTAAAATAAGACTCGCACTTTTCTTGCACAGAAAATGAATACTTTTTTCCATAAATGGACAGTTCTGATAAACGACAGTTATTTGGAGAATGAAATAAAATTGAACCAACTACTATTCCTACTGAAGACGAGGAGATCGAAAAGTTCTACTTACGCTATCACGCCCAGACGGTTCAAGGAGTGTGAACCCAAGTGCTTGAGGCGCTTCGGGTGTAGACACTGACGCAGAAAGTGGTCAATTAACTGTTTCTCATCCTCTCAGGGTAGCTTCTGCGGGGAGTATTTGTTGGTATTCGACACCATTGAAGCGTTTGGAATATCAGAGCCATATCTGGCCATCTCATCAGCCGATTCATTCCCTTCAATATTACTATGTCCGGGAACCCAGCATAGAGTGACGTTGATGTAGCTCAGTGACGCCAACGTGGTGTGACATTTCCATACAATTATCGATTTCACGATTTTAGAATCTAGTGCCTTCAGTGCTTCTTAACTATCGGCAAAGATAGTGGATTTATTTCCTCTTTGCGACCGTATCATGTTAAGCTCTTCCCGGGATGTGCTACTCACTACTCTCGATATGTCAAAGCATGCGAGTCTTTGCACTTTTGCTGCTACTACCTTTGTCTAGAGCTCTCCACCATACTAAAAGACCCGTATACAGTACATGTGATAGTACACCCCCTTGTATCGTGCGCCTGGTAGTTTTCCTTCTGACAGATCCTGCGTCTGTGGTCGCGTCCATGCCACCATATGGCGCTGAATTCCATACTCAGAGAGTGTCTTGCATACCGCCTCCGTTCAAAATAGAGGACTGCATAAATTTATTCAAAACGGCTTATGAATTATTCATACATATACAAAACGAATGAATGATTTTGGCTTCAATTTTTTTTTAATTTGAGTGAATACCTGTTTTGATATATGTGTCGAAACAACAATATTCAAACAAAGTAAAAATAAATTGAATTGAAATAAATTATAATTTTTTGTATGAATGTAGGTATGTATGTATGAATTGCTGCGCTCCTTTAACAATACGAAAAAACTTTTTTGTAGAAAAAGACTATAACCGAAATAAGTTTGAAAGATTTGAATGCTTTTCATTCATTCATTCACATTCTTCCATTTGAAGGTAGAGAATTTAAAAGCTTATTCTCATTTCGTAATTTACGGCTCAGGTGTAATTTATAAGCAAATCATGCTGAAATCAAGTAATTTCGCTTTGTAAAGAAATGGGATAATTTATCATAAATCAAGAACCAAATAAAAAAAAAAAAAGATTTTTCATTTATTTTAGCCCCCACTGTTGAGTAAATTTGAAAAAAATACCTAAAGGTTTGGTACCATTTGTGTTTTGAAATCAAGTACAAACCACTCGTACCTGCTATAGAAATTATGAAAGGAAATGTAAACGTACTTAGTTTATGTGAAGTAATTTGATCGAAACAAAGTAATTTATGTTGTAATGTGAATATAGTTTAAAACAAAATGTATATTCAAAACATGAAAAATTCCAAACGCTGAGTGTTTTGTATCTGATAATATTTAAATCTACTGTACTCTGTCTGGCTAGAAGTTTGAATGAATTCATGCAGCCCTCTAGTTCAAACATTATTGCAGGCTCCTTCAATATCCAAAAAGGCAGCAAGCGTGTTTGTCTGTGACCATTGCCTAATATGCCGATCGATTAGTCTCTCCAGTGCTTTTAGTATGAATGATGAAAGACTTATCGGTCTGAACTTTATATACATATATGTAACCTAATATAACCTTCACCTCCCACCATGCTGCCAGTAATATACACTTTCTTAGCATCTTGCAAAAATGCTTGTCAAATGGTACACCAGACTCTCACATGAGAGTATTGTAGCATAGCGGGAGGTCGCAAATTAGTTAAGCAACGTTTGAATCAGAGCTTTTAGAAAACTTTTGAGTTTGCAGTTCTGTAGCTCACGAAAGCAAGTAATCTTCCTTTTCTCGATTAGATCGACGCCCGTCGCTTAGTAGTTAAAAGTGATTAAAATTCTGTTGAAAATCGCCTATCTTGTCATTGTTTTGTATATAATTTCATTAGTTTCTTAGCTGTTGCAATTTTGCATTTAGGGTCGAGCTAAATTTTCTAACTTTTCTATAAAATTTGTTATTAATGTAAACTTTCGCTTTCCCTTTTTCAGAGCAATATGACAATCTTGGCGGCACATCAGAGTTCTCCGACGAAGGAGTTGCACCCAGTAAATCCGTTGTGGGCTCCCTCGACGGTTTAGCAGCGAGTGGCGGCTATGATTATCGCAAAGTGCAGAACGGCGGCGATTCACCGATTAAAACTTTTCTACAACCAGCGCGATTTTATTTCTAAGCAAACCGGCATTTTGTTAGATGAATTATTTGAGTATAAATAAGTTGTCTCTTCAGCATTTTAGTAAAGCTTTCAGAAAAATATACACCAATGCTTAGTCAAAGCTTTCAAACAAAAGACTTAAGCTGCAAACTTGATGGACATAACACTATTTGTGTATTTTCATACAAATCTATGAATGCGCTGACAAATATATGTACTTTTGTTTATTTTTTTCCTGCTAAAAAACACTCGCAAAACGTATGTATGCTTTCAACCAATAAACAATTGATCGATCACATTATCAACAGCGTTTTATCGCATGCATGGCATGACATGGTTAAACATGTTTGGACATCGCATGTTCTATGTAAACAACGAATGCATTATTCATTTATAAGACTAAATTTCACTTTCAAATATTGCATTCCCCTCCCCTCCAAACACTTCTAGCTGCTTAGATAATGCACGTGAAATTAATTTGCAAAGAAACTAAAACAAGTTGGCCCTGTCCACACTTGTTATTAATATGGAAATTAGAAAATCATCTGCTTGATTTCGAATTGATTAATAGCTCCTTGGTAACGTGCACTTTTTCCAGATATATAACTTCTTCGATCGCATAGATTACTTTTGCGACAGCTGCTTAAGCGCGAAACCTCGCCACCGAATCCCAATAAATTTTAAAGCTTTGATTGGCTGTCCGACTGCTGTGACCTAGCTGACTTATGGCAACGGATTCGTCACTGTCGCAAGCTACTCGTTTGCACATTTTTTTCAATTTGCGAATTTTATGCAAATGTCTTTTTTGCAATATCTATCAATAGGTAGTATGTAGTACTGCAGCCTTGTTAGAGCAGCATAGACATTTTTTTCCTGCACGCGATATTGATTTTTTATTTTTTTATTTGAGGATAACCCAGTTTTTGTAATCCCCTTATTTTTTGTTTTAAATCCGCCTTTACTACGGACTTACATAGTATGTACATGCATATCTATTCAAAATTTTTTTTTTTTTTTAGCAAGCACCACTGACCGCCCTTGTGCTCACGTATGTGGTTGCCATGTGGCCAAATTTATTTAATTTCTACGCGTTGATTTGACTTTTACGACTATGGTAAGGAGGAAAGAAATTCACCGAACTATGACAAAAGCAAAAACCATTTAAAGTTGTTAACAAAGTAGCAACAATTATGAATTAATCGTATTCGAATGAGTTAATTAACTATTTATGTTCAAAAAGTTTTCATGTCTAAGCAAGTGTTGGCTTTTACGAGCATCATTATTTGCAAAATTTATAGACAGTTCATTAATAAAGTCTTAAATGAATTTGAGATATCAAATGATGTCTAACATAGGCACACGGTGGAAAGATACCCGCACATAAAATATGGGAAAGGAAGCAGAGCATAAGAATATTAGCTAAAGCGGAAATGGTGAACAAATTTTTTAAATCCTAATGATGGAATATCACTTCATTTAAATGCAGAATCATTTCGGTGAGAGAAAAATTCGTGATCGAAAAACATTTGCCTGTGTGTGAAATAAGCCTAACGCTTGCTGCCAGGCAATAAGCGTTTCAAAAAGTTTTTTTTGCACTTTGAAAATTGCACATAGGGAGGTTCCATGGGAAACTGAAGTGCGGACTCGCTCTTTACCTACATATATACCCTTGTGGTCAGCTGATTAAGTTAAGTGACATTTTGACCAGGTTCGGTTTTCTTCTTTTGTTTATTTAATGTTTATAGTTTTTTTTTTTATAAAAGTCTAGCACATTACATAACTAGAACAACATAAGTCCACATTTCAAACTGCGTACAAAAATTATAAAAATTCAACAAACTTTAACAATTACACCCAAAAATTTAAAACCTTTTTTCAGAATTTTTAGAAAAATTCTAGGTATGCAGTTTTATAGTCCATTAAATTTAAGTGAAAAGTGAAAATTTCAAGACGCTAGAAAGTCGCGTTGATTTTTATACCCGAGCGCAATTGTGCACAAGGGTATATTAATTTTGTTCACATAATGGTTGTTTGTAACAGCCAAAACGAATCGAGATAGATATAGACAAATGTATACATATATGCTCAGAATGAATAGAGAAATCGATTAAGCCATGTCTGTCTGTCCGTCCGTCCGTGTACACGATAACTCGAGCAAAAATTGAGATATCTCAACGAAATTTGGTATGTAGGTTTCTCTTAATACAAGGTAGGTTGGTATTGAAAATGGGCGAAATCGGACAGTAACCACGCCCACTTCCCATATAACGGTAATTTCCAGAAATACGAAAACTGCGATATTTTAGTAACTACTGACGATAAGTCACTCAAAATTGATATTTGCAATAATTTTCAGACGAAAAATAAGAATATTATTAATTTTTGGAAAATGGGCGTAGCCACGCCCACTTATGGTTACATGTGTATATCTTGCTAACCGCTGCACCAATTTCTTCCAAACTTGGCACAGTTGTTGGCCATGATACAGCATACTAAGTGGCCGAAAATCTTAAAAATCGGACAATAACCACGCCCACTTCCCATATAACGGTAATTTCCAGAAATACGAAAACTGCGATATTTTAGTAACTACTGAAGATTATTCACTCAAAATTGATATTTAAAACAATTTTTAGACGAAAAATAAGAATATTATAAATTTTTGGAAAATGGGCGTAGCCACGCCCACTTATGGTTACATGTGTATATCTTGGTAACCGCAGCACAAATTTGTTCCAAACTTGGCACAGTTATTGGCCTTGATACAGCATACTAAATGCCCGAAAATTTAAAAAAATCGGACAATAACCACGCCCACATCCCATATAACGGTAATTTAGAGAAATACAAAATCTTCGATAAATCAGTAAATATTAAAGCAAATTTATTCAAAATTGATGCTTGCAACAATTCTTTACCAAGAAATACGTTTATGGTAAAATTTTGGAAAATGGGCGTGGCACCGCCCACTTATGATCACATATATGTATATCGGTAACTGTTCTACCAATTTGTACCAAACTCGGTGTTTTTATTGTGCTTGGCAAATAAAAGCAAAACGTTGAAAATTATTGAAATCGGACCAAAATTACGGCCGCTTTTTATATAACGGTTAGTTTCAGAAATGCTTGAAACTTCAATAATTCGTAATTTAAGGACTCTAATTTACTCAAAATCTATACACCCCGGCTTACCATCTGGCGGTAGCTTTGGGAAAGGTGAAAAAACATATTTTTAATACTTGCGCCAGGTATTTAATGTTCGGCTCCGCCCGAACTTACACTTTCTTATTTGTTAATAATCTTTTTGGTTGACGGTGCTAAGCATTTTCTTCTAGATAAAAGGCGTTATCCTTAGATTAAACGTAAGTGAATTTAACCCCTTTTTGGGTTCTTATATTCTTGAATAACTAATCTTTAATATGGACTACACTAAAAGTTCCTTTATCATATAAAAACGCATACGTATCCCACCCGTGACAGACATCAAGTTCACACAGAAAAGTGAAATAAATTCGCAGAGTTTCCGTAAAATATATCTGCTACAAAAAGCAGGTTCTTTTTTTTGTCCCACCCGTGACAGAAGAAATAACTCTGATTTCTTCTAATAAAAGTAAGCTGGAATTTTTTCATATTTTATAATAGCTCATATAATAATACTTTATACTTAAATTTGAGCAAGACAGAACATTTTTTTTTGTACAAATGTCCCACCCGTGGCGGTGGAATCGCCCACATGCAAATCGAAAATGTGAATGATATGAACTATTTAAAGACATTAAAATCATTGAGGAATTTATTATGTGTGACCTTCTATTCAAAAAATCCTCGTACTAAATAGTAATGCACGGTAAAATGTGTGTTGTTGTTTAATATTTTAGCAAGGCTTCCGGTGTGGCTGAGTGTCAAAAGTTGTGTACTACCACCTCTTCGTATCACCTGGGTTTGATCCGGGAGTGAAATTTCTCTTGATTAATTTCTTAATCGTTCGATAATAAGAATAGTTGTATGTTTCTTTACTGAAATTAACATAACATAAGGTAACATAACATAACATAACACTTGGTTGAGTGATTTTTAATTGTTCGCAAATCAAGAAATCAATTTTATTTGTGCTATGCTTCGCTGAGATGAGGTGAGTTTAGATAAGGTGGGTGAGTTGAGTTGAGATAAGGTGAATTTATTTTATTGAGTTGAGGCGTGATGAGGTGAGCTGAGGTTTCGAACAATGGAAAAATCATGCCAAAACCTGGGCGAAATTTGAATGTTTGCACCTATGTACTTTTTAAGTGCAAGAGTGGAAAACAGAAGCCAAAAATGAAAAAAAATTTCAACACATTTACTGATTGGGCTCATAGCTTTTGTGAGTTGTAAACGTTATAGAGGTCCAATCTTCTCTATATTTAATATTTAAGCGAAAATACTTACACTTGCTTTAACAAAAAATTGGTAAAGCTTTAACGAGTTTTGCTGAGCCCTATAAAGTATGCCACTCGTTTCTCTGTTGTGCCAACTGACGTCAATTGGAGTCCTTTTCTGTCTGATTTTTACAACGCAGTTGCGGCCTTTCTCTTCTACAACCAACCGTGCTAAGTTGAATACTTTCAGGGCTGACCAAGCCATCAACTATACTAAATCTACAAAGATGTATATTTGTATGTATGCATGTATATATTCTTACAATATCAATAATTTAATGCCAATAACTTTTCCACTTTCCATTTGAATAAATATGAAAAAATAGAAATATTAAAAAAAGCTTTTGTAATGCAAATTTCCAACCACTTCAAAATAATCACCACTAACAATGGCAAACGTAAAAAGCAAAACCTCCAAAAAGCAAATGTCGTATCCTTAGTTGTTTTGCCGATCCCATTGTTTGTGCTTAACACAATTCACATTTTTAATAAATTCAAACTACAATAAATTGACAATTTAATGGCAAATGGTAAGTAATTTAAGTTGGGTTTTTTGTATAATTCCACCATGAGTGATCATTGTGTAAATTTAATAACAAAGACTACCGGTGTTGAATTCGATACGACTGGCTATCTGCGGCGGTAAATGCGAGGAATAAGCAAACACGAGTGTTTCGGCCTTGGCATTCGCATTCGGAATGCTTTAATGCTTATGGTTGGCAACGAGTTAAAGGAATAAAATTTTTTACGAAAATATTTGTCGATTAGTTACTTTTAATACAAAAAGGCCTCATAAGACAAGAAATATATTTGAAGTCAACTTATATGTACATATAAATATATGATGGGCGAAAATGTAAATAGGGAAGAGACATTTTAGCAAGTTTTGGCAATTTTTTTTTAAGTTATACATTGTTATCTCTATAAAAACCATGTTGCAAAAAATTGGCGTTTTTCAAGAACAATTTTCCAATCCTTACTAATATTATAAATCCGAAAGTGAG